CTATCGTAATCTGCTAATATTGTATTGAATATGGCAATTAATCATATTCATTAATTAAACACATACTCTGATTTCTTTTTATACTGACACCCTGACACTTTAACTATAAAAAATATACATGCTCCAAGTCAGGAACCGTTACATTAGTGCATTTCACAATTATTTTATGTTTTTTAGCCAAAAAAATGTCCATTCTTTTTTATTCTACACCCCTCTTTCAAATATCATAGAAACGCCCCTGTGCATGTTATCTGTCTTGAAAAACTTCACAGTAGTGAAATAGGAAGCCGGTTTCCTGAAGTACAGAAAAATGGACACATGACTCATTGATAAAAAAACCTGAATTAATGCCTGGATTGCTTTGAAATACTTTAATATTGAGAGAACACACTGTTCTGTCAATAAAGCTTAAACATTAGAATATGCGGAAATTGTGATACTGTCTCCCTACCTTGGATCATCCTATTTCCGTTTTATCAACACACTCATTCGACCTTGATAGGGAGCGGCTAGTCGAAGGACAGTGTTCCAGATAACTGATATTATGTATACACTTTATAATATAGGGAGAAATAAAACACAACAAATATTAATATTTGATGTGTCGTTCGTGATATCGTGTCTAGGTTTAATAACAAGATATTACCAATGGATGTATTTGCGTGTAGTACGGAAATAAAATGTCCTTTATCGCCCTAATTGTCACCGGATATCTTTATGTATTTGTTATGTGCAGAACACGTGGTCAACACCGAACTCCAAAATGATGAAACACCTGTCTGAGCGTTCTCGAAGATATGACGTAATTGCGGAACCCACGGTCCAAGTTACGGTAGGCACGTGACTACAAGGTCCCTGAAACCTGGGCCCGTCATTTGATAAGAATGCAATGTTGGGGAAGGGAAGTATAACAAGTTTTGTCACCAAATCATCGTTTAAAATGTATGTATTAAATATAAGGTGACACATGCATGGCGGAAATGCGTGTTTAGCATTCTTTGACCCAAACTTTGTGTTGCATACCTGTACGTACCTACGCCACATCTATATATATATGTGTGTGTATATAAGTAACACATGTGTGCGTTCACTTGTATACAGTGGCCACTCACCTGTGTACAATATAAGTATATCTGTATATATGTGCAGCAGAACGTGCTATTTATATATTAGAACAGAGACGGTGTACTACTATACAAACACTTATAAATATTGAAATGTGCTTGCACTCGAAATTTATTCACATTAAACATGTATATACTTATAACCATTGATAATGTTTCTACATTGCTGTTGTAACTATCATGTGTGAAGCAGACTGTCGCTCACTTCTGTTCAACTTTTCCTGTAAAACGCAAACACCCTTTCCCAGTCTCTATATACTTCGACAGATTGCTGATTTTTCACGTTTTGTTTCTTTAGAAATCAGCAGTTTTCCCTGCTACTGGGTTTTTGCTAAAATTAAAGTAATTCATTGCACAAACCAGCTAACACTTATTCATTAAGACATCACATTCATCATAACTATATCATTGTCATTCTTAAAAAAGTAGTTATTTTGACACATTTTAAATTTCATCGGGTGACACCCCCTACCCACCTAGGTCCCCTCCACTCACCAACTCTTCCAAAAATTGTAAAGGTTGGCAAACATTGTCCATTGTGTGTCATTACCCGATCAGGTCACTTTACCTTGATATGTCAATTAACCGGTTTACTTCTACAGGGTTCACTGTTTAAATAGACAAATGAATTAACCGAGTATTACGTGCATGCGTATTACACAATGTCAGCTGAGACAACTAGGGAGAGGTCGACATATGAGAGACTCGTTACGTACTTGTATGGTTAAGTGCCTTGTTTCAAGTTTTATACAAACAACAAGTGATATTCAAAGTTCCTTGGTAACTATGCTTAGATTTATGAAAGCTGCACGGATACGTGAACCCATAGGGACCAGACATACTTAGACGTTAGAATATTTGACTGGTATATTATATCCTACGAACAATAGAGCCTTTAAAAATACAATGCAAATTTATAAAACAGAAAATGCATTTAAATATCTGAAAGAAATCCCGTACCATTTTCGCAAAGCATTCGAATAACTATAATACCAAATCAATGATAATAAACGTCATCACACAGCCATTCATGGACGTTTTATTAGTAATGATTTGATTTGGGTGTTGACGTATTGCGGTCTTTCGGCCTTTCAGCAGACGACAAACAGTGTGTAGGGGAGAGAAGAAGAAGAGAAAGTAGCAGCGGAGAATAGGAGTCCTAATGGTCCTTGTATGATTTCAGAAAACGGCTCCAGGGCCGAGATAGTATTGATGTCAGTGAGATTATACTTATGTACAGAGGCTATAATTTTAATAGGCAAAAACGGGTCTAGAAATGTTGATAGGGGCGGGCTAAAACGATACGGGATCCAAATTGTTTTCAGTAATAAAATCGACCGCCCGACAATCGGTGCGATGCTGAATGTCGAATGACTTCTTAATACCTGTACGATGAATTGTAAATAGATTTCGTGAACGTATGATGAATTGCCTCATGTTGAAATGTACTCTCTTTGTGTTCTCTCCGTATTTTTGTATTGAAATAAAATTGCATTTCAACGTGTTTTTCTATAGCAGTTCATCCGATATCCAGGTTGTTCCCACAAATCATTGTAAAATTTACTATGGAATTATCGTGTTACTACATGTACAAATTATTTGATACTTTATTAGAAAAAAAACTGTCACAATCTCTCATATAATAACAAATACTGTTACACACTTTATCATGTGATTAAACACATTTACACTTTATTATGTTATCAAAAATTAGTTACCGTTTAACTATAATTAATGTTACACTGTATCACCCAATTACAAATACGTTTACCCTTACACTGTAATAACAAATGTTTCTATACTTTATTAGTGCTATTAGGTTCCGGGTTTTCTCCCTAAATAATACATGTTCTTTTCTGCACAGCTGATTGATTCTTTTTAAATGCTGAGGAAAAGAAGTACGTAATACATGTAGACAATAACGTTCACTGAGGAACGCCATCTATACATGTACACGTATGTAATGCATACCCTGTATTTTAAACTGCAACATGGAGATCAGGTCAAGGAAATGGAAATCTTTACATAGTAAAATGTAAGATGATCCTAAGTTTGATGAAACTGTACAGTACTGTGTCGGATGTTAACTGAGGAACCATAAACAAGGAAAGTATTGCCTCGTGAACTCAATAATTGATACATGTATGAGGAAAATACACAGCTCAGGACACACGAAGGTCTGTGGACATCAAGTTGTAAAATAAATATAACGCACTGATTTCTAGTAGAGTAATGGGTCTCTCGGGTCGGTGTTACACGGTTACGCCGACAAAACAACAAATAATTCCAAAGTACATTCAGCATGCTTGAATATACAATTTACCTGCATTAGTCTTTTAATTAATGTGTTTGGTTGCGCTCGGTTAATAGCAACTGCATCTTCATATTTCTAGTATTTGAAAATGGTTCTATACTTCGGTTAATTCTAAAAACGATATCCCACTCTTTTCTTACAATATACGTACATAAACTGCCAACTAAACCGACATTGTTGTAATGTCACTCTCAAAATCCGTGACGTGTCAATTGCTGACCGTTTATATGCTTTTAACAAGGACTGTCAACACATTTCAAACAAAGATCACAGTTTACGACCTATCTGCGTTACATAAGAATTTGGTCACATTACACATATACAATGTAGTACCTGTATTTAATATCGGCATGTTCGTAACTTGTGATAAAATATCGCTAAAGTATTAGGTTAACACTATTTTAGATACAATAATAGCACGGCATGTGTAACCATGCAGATTTATAGACTAGTAGTAATTTATTTGAAATATGTTTGAATTAATCAATCAATTAATCAATCAATCAATCAATCAATCAAGCATGACTGTTCTCGCGTACACGAGTCCAAAGCTTATCACTAGCGTATCGTGGAATTTGTCGATTAAACTACAAAGTGAAGCAGAAAGCTGGCATTGTTTGGAGGTATCGATTAGGTATATATGAAATGAAGGTGTCTGGCTTCCGTGGGCTTCATTCTACCCCGATCGATGGAAAGTGTATACATATGTACAGTACAATAAAGCCCTTGTAGTCAGGCCGGCCCAGGTAATACGGGGTTTCCAAGCACCGTGGTAGAAACTTTGTCCAACCCTAATTTAGAAAAGAACATAATATTTACGTGACGAACGTTACTGCTTCGTCACGGTGAGGTGCACTTAGTGACTAACTTATACATGGACAGGGAACACCTTCCTGTAGTGACTAACGCAGAATAGAAGCTTTAATTAAGATGCACGGTCTAGCAGCTTACTTTTTATGATTTTTTTTTATCGTAAGTAAAGATCGGCACGATGAAGGTCAATCGAGTACAAGATTATACAACATCATCTCCAGGCGCACTATAGGTTTGTGAGCAATATACTAGTGTATGAGGGGGCGGAGTAGGGGGTGGTAACATAACCTATTATTTCCTGGTGATGCCGAAACGGAGGAAGTGAATAACTGAGCCTGCAGAGAAGAGACGTAGCTAGGGAAAGGGTGGGCCTTTGAGGGGACCCATGTGGTAGGGGCGTAGTGAGGGCTAGGGACCTGTACGTGGTCGACTAGGGTAGTAGTGATCAAGATTTGAGGAGGGGGCAATAGGGCAGAGACGTAATGAGGCCGGGGTAGAGGTGTAGTACGTGATGGTAATGGAGTCTAGGGAGTAGGGGCGAGGAGAGATTCAGTTTTATACAGAGAAAGGGGTGGGGGGTAATGAACCCCTTATCCTCAATCACATTACTATTCCATCAGTTACATTTGTATTTCATGCATAACATTCACTATAAGCGTACATGTTTTCTTCGTCAATTTTATAGATTTGACGACGTTAAAATAACTTGATTTCTTCAATTGCGAAACGTTTCTTTTAAAAGTACTTACCCAAAATCGATACATAGGTGGAATTGCCTCTCGGAAGTGTGTGGGATTCCATAATACCGAACCATCCATTCGGGTATACAGCTGGTACCTTTCCAACCATTCTCCTTTTTCGTACGGAATTGGCAATCTCCTTCATGGTAAATTTACCTTCCGCTCTGTATCCAAGATCTCCCAGAATCCGAATCCGATTTAAAGGACAAAACATTATCAAATAGAAGTAATAGAATCCAACACTTAATATTGCTACAATTATATAGGTGGTCACTGCATAAAAATCCGGCCATGTCGTCAGTAAGAATAGCATCCGTCCGGTTAAGGTGCAAACTGACCGGTACCAGAGTTCTCCGACTTCGAACAAGGGCACGCGCAGCAACTTCTCAGACACACTGGCCGATACAGCTATCACTAAAACGGACAGCAAAACTCCTGACAGGACAGACTTTGAATTCATTATGAATGTCTGTAATTACAAAATAAAAATAAGGAAATACGTTGCAATATATATAAATATAGCCACAATATTATCGATTGATTTGAATTCAAATATTATCTAATGCTTCATTATATACACCTCCCGATAGGTTCGATTCGACACGTGTTGTTCCGTGCTACATGACACTTTAAAATAAAATCCACTTTCACAATCAGCTATAAATATACAGTTCAGGCGAGCACATGTGTTAGTGTATGTGGTTTATTGGGTCTCCGCGACAATAATCCGGTATCGTGAACTTGCTGTAACTAGTTGTATACACTGCGTACTCAAAAGGAACCCACCATTGACTGTGGAAATACTACCATTCAATCGATAGAGATTTCAGATTTTCCACCGCCCTAACAATACGGTCGTATTCACTCTGAGCTCCAGTACACACTGTTAATGTCAGTGGTGTTAATCTCTTACTACCACGTGTTGGCAAGGATGGGATGTTAGAGTAATCAAAAACCACGTGACCTGGTTTCTCCGTTATATGAAGAATAAAACCGAACAATCAAGAAACTGTAAATGTCCCTTTAGTGATGTGTGCCCGAGCCTGTTCTACGCCGTCGCGTCATGTTTTTAAATAGACGTAGCGCTGCCAAACCTTCCTAGCCCTACACACAAATCTGGATATGTCATTTATTTAACTATGTTGTAAAGTTATATAAATTGAAGACAGTGTGTGCTATAATCACCACGGAATTAGATTAGATAAGTCCGTGATATCACGGACTTACATAAGATATAATTCTGCAGTAATATATACATTTTTATCATCTAGATATTATGAAACAATGAATTATAAATCATACATTTTGTAAAACGTAAATATTTATAGATATATATGGGATTGATACAGTCATTACATGTAATTAAAAAACGCGCGAACTAAATTGACTCACGTGAGATGGGTCACTCTCGGCGAAGTATAACGGAAATCGTGGTACAGGAATGTAGGCCTTTTATCATATATACAAGACATTTAAGACACGTTTTGGAGTCAAAATACCTTAAGAAAATATAACAATACAACAGACTGACTTTTACGTACTTCTTTCTGTACATTTAATATATAATAGGACAAGGTGTAATGTTTTGTATTTTCTGGTAACTGTCATGTACGACGCTGTATACACATGCATTATAAATATGTAATTTTGCTTTTTTACACTTCACATAATTTTGTACGTCCAGTAAACGATTTCACATTGGGTAAGATTGATTATTTATTAAACTATCTTTTAAAGAATATTGAACAATTCACATTACTATAGTTTTGATTTATTTTATGTATATATATGTTTGCCTGTATTGTATAATTCATTGCCTCATTGTTAAGAGTACTACACATATGATTTATACCACTGAAATATATTGATTTATTATACATTTACCTTGAGCAATACGATAAATGCATATTGTATGTGGGTCATTACGATATATGTGAAGAAATACACGTGGGTCATTACGATTTATGTGTAGTGAAATACACGTGTGTCATTACGATTTATGTGTAGTGAAATACACGTGGGTCATAACGATTTATGTGTAGAAATACACGTGTGTCATTACGATTTATGTGTAGTGAAACACACGTGGGTCATTACGATTTATGTATTGTGAAATACACGTGGGTCATTACGATGTATGTATTGTGAAATACACGTGGGTCATTACGATTTATATATAGTGAAATACACGTGGGCCATTACGATTTATATATAGTGAAATACTCGTGGGTCATTACGATTTAAGAAAAGTTAAATACACGCGAATCATTACGATTTATATAAAGTGAAATACACTTGGGTCATTGCCATTTATATAGAGTGAAATACACATGGGTCATTACGACTTATATAGAGTGACATACACGTGGGTCATTACGATTTATATAGAGTGAAATGCACGTGGGTCATAACGAGTTATGTATCGTGAAATACACGTGGGTCATTACGATTTATATAGAGTGAAATACACGTGGGTCATTATGATTTATATAGAGTGACATACACGTTGGTCATTACGATTTATATATAATGGCATACATGTGGGTCATTACGATTTATATAGAGTGACATACACGTGGGTCATTATGATTTATTTAGAGTGACATACACGTGGGGCTTTATGATTTATATATAGTGACAAACACGTGTGGCTTTTCATTACGATTTATATAAAGTGAAATACACTTGGGTCATCACGATTTATATAGAGTGTAATACACGTGGGTCATTACGTTTTATATAGAGTGAAATGCACGTGGGTCATAACGATTTATGTATCGTGAAATACACGTGGATCATTACGATTTATATATAATGGCATAAATGTGGGTCATTACGATTTCTGTAGAGTGAAATACACTTGGGTCATCACGAGTTATATAGAGTGACATACTCGTGGGTCATTACGATTTTTATAGAGTGAAATACACGTGAGTCATTACGATTTATATAAAGTGAAATACACTTGGGTCATCACGCTTTATATAGAGTGAAATGCACGTGGGTCATAACGAGTTATGTGTCGTGAAATACACGTGGATCATTACGATTTATATATAATGGCATACATGTGGGTCGTTACGATTTATATAGAGAGAAATACACGTGGGTCATAACGAGTTATGTATCGTGAAATACACGCGGGTCATTACGATTTATATTGAGTGACATACACGTGGGGCTTTATGATTTTTATAGAGTGACATACACATGGGTCATTACGGTTTATATAGAGTGAAATGCACGTGGGTCATAACGATTTATGTATCGTGAAATACACGCGGGTCATTACGATTTATACAGAGTGAAATACACGTGAGTCATTACGATTTATATTGAGTGACATACACGTGGGGCTTTATGATTTATATATAGTGACAAACACGTGTGGCTTTTCATTACGATTTATATAAAGTGAAATACACTTGGGTCATCACGATGTATATAGAGTGACATACTCGTGGGTCATTACGATTGATATAGAGTGACATACAAGTTGGTCATTACGATTTATATTGAGTGACATACACGTGGGTCATTCCGATTTATATAGAGTGAAAAACACGTGGGTCATTGCGATTTATGTAGGGTGACATACACGTGGGTCTTTACGATTTATATATAGTGACAAACACGTGTGGCTTTTCATTACGATTTATATAGAGTGACATACACGTGGGTCATTACGATTTCTATAGAGTGAAATACACTTGGGTCATCACGATTTATATAGAGTGACATACACGTGGGTCATTGCGATTTATGTAGCCAAATACACTTGAGACTTTATGATTATTGTACAAGTCAACAAGGTTTACAAGTTTACAAGTTTAATGTTTTTCCTCAGATACATTACAATGTACAACATGAGGTATCAGAGTATGATAATACACATGTTATGACAAAATGGATATCAGTATTACGTACCACGTATCAATACAATGTATTATGATTTACTTGGCTTGTGCAAATCAATTTGCAATGTGTATATTGAAACGTTTTAGGTTTAGTCTAAAATATTCTATTATTTTACACTTTATATACACATCCCTGTATATAAAGTGTATAGTTATGTAATGCATATTATGTATTCGTGTATAAATGTACCAAACACTTGGTATATATTTTCCACATTACTTTGTAATCTTCATCTTTGGAGGCAATACAGAGAATAATATGCTTATTACAATAGTTTGTTATTTTTTACCGAAATACGCGTGGGGCTTTATGATTTATATATAGTGACAAACACGTGTGGCTTTATGATTTATGAAGAGAACTACTCGCGGGTCTTGACGATTTGTGAATGAAATACAGGTGTGTCATTATGTTTATGCAGTAAATCCACGTGTGTCATTATGTTTATGTAGTGAATTCACGCGTGTCATTATATGTAGAACATACACGTGTGTCATTTCTATTTATGTAGTGAAATACATGTGTCATTATGTTAATGTTGTGAAATACACGTGGGTCATTACAACATACCAACCGCTATAAACGGAAGAAATAATTTTTATTTGAGTCCGATGTTACGAATCAGTCAGTTATGCAGTTAACACCGTAATTACATACTTAAAGTATTGTTACGGTCTAAAACGTTACAGACGTCACGTGCCTCATGTGTATAGCAGCGGACTTAGATAATTTAATTCCGTGGTATAGCACAGTTACGTAAAAATGTCATTACCTCAATGTGAATAGAACCTAATACACTACTGTTTACCTGGTCCCAGTCTACGATAGCATTGTTAGCTTAACGGGAAATTAATATAAACTTCTGTCTCGAAACCCCCCCCCATTAAAATTCACAATAAAATTTCATTGTATGGTGTTATGAAAAAATGCATGGAAGAAAGGAAAAATAAACAATAAAACAAAAGTAATTCTGAACAATATCGAATTGAAGCTATACGATAACAAGCCACTGAGCTGATCTGATTTTGATACCCCTATAAAAAGGTATGTCAATATATGGGTCAGGTGTGTTAGTATGTGAGCACTCGTTCATGCGTTAACGTTGATTTCTGTTCCCAGATCTATCAAAGTGTACCTGTTAATTAAACACACGTTGCCCTTAATGCATCTGTTGTCTATAAACTATCAGACCAGAAACACTTCGTCTGATGTATAGCCCTTAACTATTAACCACGAATGCACATACATGTGTCACATAGAAAATATCTCAGTCATGTGTAAAATACTCTAATTTACAATTTTCAAAAAATATGTTTTGCCCATTGAACCGAACGTGTGTAGCAAAACATACGAATTAAAAGACTTGAGAATGCGGACACAGGAATTGTTGTCATTCTAAAACAGCCGTAATTTAATGACATTAAATTTAATGTGTGGGTATTATGGCAGATATGGAATTTAAATTTCTTTGTAAAATAATCAAATCAAGCCGAGGTGACCTTCGTTAATTATTTTTTCCAACATTGCACTCACATTAGTTATATATTTTACAATTTTCCATATGTTATATATATATATATCTTAAAAAAACCAATTCCAAAATGTAAGAATCGGGGGTATTCTCTATCTTGTCTTCTGTTTACGGAACATTGAAAAAACTAAGTGTGTATCGTAAAAAGCGACTACTGTGGGCCCCCTGCAGTATCTGGGATTGTCTTCCGTGTCTTCTACAAGCGGAACATGAAGAGATCAACACTGGTCTGCTGTCCCCATGGCAGCACTTTGGGTCTTTCTCGTTTTTCCCCTTTTTATCTACTTTTCTATTTCTGGCCGTGTCTCCCTAGGCACCGGTCTCAGTGGCGAGGACGTTAAACCCCAAACAAACAGACAGATGTAATGCAACGCGCGTTCGTTTCTACCTGAGTGTTTAGACGGTAGCACGATATAGATCAGTCAATTATGTTAATTCGTTTGTTCTATTGCAAGTACACATATCTTTTACCGCG